AAGAGATTCTCTTTAGCCACATTCCAGTCCAACATTAATTCTCAAAAGTATTTCCCATCCAAATCATTTATCACAATGCCTTTTTTCTTATTGATGGAAAAGCCGCAGCAAAATCAACAACAAAAACAGAAAATTGAGGTTCCCAGTGCGTGTTTGAGGAGGTGGAATGAGATAAACATTTTGTTGCAACTGAGTAATGAAGGAAGCATCAATAGATCAATCGATGGGTTTAAATTTGAAGTATCTTGAAAGAATTATTGAAAAAGGTGATTTTTCGAAATTTCAGGCTAGCCTTATTGCAAGGCACAGCGTTTGCGTACATACCGTCCATTCAAGTGTTCATGATGTTACCCGAATACAAGTGCACCGCATCAGAGGTCGATTTCGTGCCGATGGAAGATTACGAAAATAAACTCACTATTGTATGCATTGCTTTTCATTGAGATGTTTGTGCAATTGCCCTTCAGAACATCACGATGCCACAAAGTAACTGAAAAAAGGGTTCTCATGAACTGAAACGTTTGAAGTTTTCTCCAGCGAATATTGGATCGATGGAATTTCCGAATTGAAATAATGAAAAATGTTCACTTCTACCTGAAATTACTTGAACCATCTGAAGTTCACTGACGATTTCCTGATCGTTTCTAGTGGGCTGAACGAATGATACAGTTCAAATCAAGGCCTGAAAATTTTCAAATCATTATAAAATTTGATTGATTGTGAAAAAAATGACATTGCTGAATTATAAGGTGTGCAGTTTGTAAATGGCTCGATGCTAGAGTAATTTCAGATTCAAGGATGTCTGATAGCATCGTCACTGATTCCGATTGTAATCGGCCTAACCGGTATCGTTGGAGTGCTAACCAAATTCATCGGTCCAATTACTGTTTCACCGTTAATGCTTCTGCTTGTTCTCTCATCAGTTGATCTTTGCGTTGAGCGAATCTCTAAGCATTGGGTTGCTGTCATGTGAGCGTTTTCTTTTTTGTCGTTCCATGTTCGGTTCATTATAAGTATGTAGTTCGAATCAAGGCCTGAGGCCTATAAGTATCTGTTAACTAGACGTTTTCAAAAACATTTCATTTGTTTCACAACATGTCGAAT